GCCAACGGATTACGGAGAGAGAGAGAGAGAGAGAGAGTTGAAGAATCGATAATTAAACAGCGGTAAACGTGTATTTTGAAAACAACGGAGAATCGCCGATTGCGCTTGTTTTCTTTATTTCTCTAACGCGAACGCAGGCTTTAATCGATACGAATTGGCGAATCGATAGGGCAGGAGGGGGAGGGAGGAGAACCGTGCAACGCGAGGACACTTAATAAATCGTCGGAGAAAGATACGACCTTCGTTGTTGCGTGGAACGTTCCCAAATACAAGGCTCGTGACTATCGCAGCTTATCGAGAATGCGTGTGAGTCAGTCATTAATAAAAGGGTCGCAATGCTCGCGGTGAAAAGCGGAGAGACGAGGGTTCGTATCGATCAAATAACCATCGGCTGCCATGTGGAAAGACACGGGTTCGGGGGATCCTCCTTTTCTAACGGGTGGCACGCTCTTAATCCTCGCGAATTTTCAGTAAAAACCGAAGAAAAAAATTGAAAAATTGAGGAAATTAGTGAAATTTGAAATTAACGAAATTCCGTGAATATTCTATTTCTTTAACCCTTTCGTAAGCGAATAAAAATTATCTCAATTTAGCGTCCGTTACACATGATTGGTGCATAAATGAATGATAAATTATTCTAAAAAATAACAATTCGGTCACGGAAAGGTTAAAGTTTACCTCGAAATATCGATCAATTTTTTTCTTTCTTTTTTTTTAACGAAAGAAGATTATTCCTCGTGGAAGATTTTGTACAAGTTACGAACGTAGTACAGGCGTGTATTACTCTCTGAGATAATACATGTGCGTACATTTGTTACGTGTCCGACATCCCGTGCGTCCAGGAAGTTTCGTATCGAATTTATCAAAAACACGACGGGAAGCCAGTTATAAGATGATAGGCCAAGGAGAAAGTGAACCAACGGCTATCTATATCCTGACAAAAATTCGTCTACGACCGAGGGAACAATTATTACATGCAAATAGTGTAATCCCTCTTTCGTGTAACCCGGACACCCGAACCATTACTCAGGAAGTTTAATTAAAAAACTTGGTCCATAAAGTTGGATCAGAAACTTCTCTCTTTTTTTTCTCCGAGAGAGAGAGAGAGAGAGAGTTGAAGAATCGATAATTAAACAGCGGTAAACGTGTATTTTGAAAACAACGGAGAATCGCCGATTGCGCTTGTTTTCTTTATTTCTCTAACGCGAACGCAGGCTTTAATCGATACGAATTGGCGAATCGATAGGGCAGGAGGGGGAGGGAGGAGAACCGTGCAACGCGAGGACACTTAATAAATCGTCGGAGAAAGATACGACCTTCGTTGTTGCGTGGAACGTTCCCAAATACAAGGCTCGTGACTATCGCAGCTTATCGAGAATGCGTGTGAGTCAGTCATTAATAAAAGGGTCGCAATGCTCGCGGTGAAAAGCGGAGAGACGAGGGTTCGTATCGATCAAATAACCATCGGCTGCCATGTGGAAAGACACGGGTTCGGGGGATCCTCCTTTTCTAACGGGTGGCACGCTCTTAATCCTCGCGAATTTTCAGTAAAAACCGAAGAAAAAAATTGAAAAATTGAGGAAATTAGTGAAATTTGAAATTAACGAAATTCCGTGAATATTCTATTTCTTTAACCCTTTCGTAAGCGAATAAAAATTATCTCAATTTAGCGTCCGTTACACATGATTGGTGCATAAATGAATGATAAATTATTCTAAAAAATAACAATTCGGTCACGGAAAGGTTAAAGTTTACCTCGAAATATCGATCAATTTTTTTCTTTCTTTTTTTTTAACGAAAGAAGATTATTCCTCGTGGAAGATTTTGTACAAGTTACGAACGTAGTACAGGCGTGTATTACTCTCTGAGATAATACATGTGCGTACATTTGTTACGTGTCCGACATCCCGTGCGTCCAGGAAGTTTCGTATCGAATTTATCAAAAACACGACGGGAAGCCAGTTATAAGATGATAGGCCAAGGAGAAAGTGAACCAACGGCTATCTATATCCTGACAAAAATTCGTCTACGACCGAGGGAACAATTATTACATGCAAATAGTGTAATCCCTCTTTCGTGTAACCCGGACACCCGAACCATTACTCAGGAAGTTTAATTAAAAAACTTGGTCCATAAAGTTGGATCAGAAACTTCTCTCTTTTTTTTCTCCGCGAGAACTTTAATTAGAAATTTCAACTATAAATTTCGGGAAAAAATATCCTCAATTCTTTCCCATTATCCTCTACGCGCGAAATTTCGATCCGAGAAATAATTCTCACTCGGTGCGATAAATGGTAAAAATTTCTTGGCGAACGCGAAGCTAAAAACAAAATCCTGAGTCACTGTGTGCCTTGCGACGTTGTAATACGTCGTTCGAAGAAATTTGTACGCTGTACGAGGAACATACAGAGACCTATAGCTATACCTTCGATACATTGTTGCAAAGCCGCATGAAAGGAAAAGAAAAAAAGAAGGAAAGAAGGAACGCCACAGCAGTTACGTTTAGCACTGCGTTTTAGGCTGGCCTGGAACGGCGTGTGTGTGCACGCCACGTGCGCGTCCATGTGCGTATGTGTGCTGCACAGCCCGATTTATTGATCACACGCGTCGCACGCAATATACGACGCGTGTGCCTGGCTGCGTGTCGCAACGAGGCGACCTACGAACTTCTAACAAATTCCGTCTACGATCCACGGTGACATGTGCACAGAGACTGCATTAGCATAAAACTGAAGGGAAATCAAATTCGACGGGGGGAATCGAGGGAGGGAGAAGCATCTGATCACCCGCTATATACCTTGGATCGCGTTAACGAGAACAATCGAAGAAATATCGAACTAAAGTGTAGTGAAGAAACGTGTGACACCCGGTATGTAACGCGCTAATTAGAACAATCAAATAAAGCTTAGACAAATGTAGGTAGAATTTTGCGATCACCCGGTGTACAGCAGGCAGAGAAATATTATTAATTTGTTAACCGAGGATGACGAGTCAACTCGTCGTTGATTCTCCGATAATTAAAAGCGAATAGTTTTATTCGCCGAGGGATTGTTCGTTTTAAATGATACAACTGGCTGTTATTTTCACTCGTTTTGCATTGTAAACTCGAAAGATTGAATTTCTGTTCTAGAGGCGAATTAACCGGTTAAAAACGTAACAATGGAAATTTCAACGTGTTCGTTGGACAATGAA